CTTGTTCAAGGGCCTGATTGTGGAACCTTTTTATTTATTTTTTTGGCAAGGAGCCAATGTCTTTTAATTGTTTTCAAAGGTGAACCCAGAGTTGAAACACTAACGACTGATTCACACTGGGCTTCAGCGTCAATGCTTGACTGAGGAAGCGTCTGAAGTTGGGGCTGACGTGATCATCATAGCAGCTTCAGCCAATGTGGTAAGTTCGCAATCGGCTACTATCTGAGTTGGTGGCTCAACTATCATAGTATGATGCATTGTTTGGGAAAAGAATGATGTAGTGACGAGTGTTTCCCAAAACCTGTAGTTTCTCTGTCACGGATCCAGGGGCGAACTGGGACAAAAATTCAGCCCTGGCACTGTTGCCACATCAGCCCACATTACCACACCGACACAGCCCCACCCACGGACACGCACATTCACTATTTATTTTGGTGTAAAGATGGTGAAATAATTTGACATTTTTGCCAGATTTTGATTATGTCCGGGTAACCTTGGATTGGGTCGGCCCATCTTCAAACCAGGCGGCAGTTGCCGATTGGGCCAAATGCTTAACATTTATTATTATTATTATTATTTTTATTATCATCATCATAATATCACATCTAGCAAGAGATAAAAGCTGTCTGCACTTAAAAACAATACTTTTTTTTTTTTTTAAACTGACCGGCCCACATTTAAAAATTGGTCCAGCATTTGCCAGAATTGCCAGATGGCCAGTCCGCCCCTGCGCGGATCCATCGTTGGAACCACATTAGTTATAATGTAAAAAACCCATTATGATGCTCTAAACGGGGTGGTGACAACTTCTTTTCTTTTTGCAAATTATATTGTTTTACATGCACATATATAAAAAATAAAATCCAATATTAGTTTTGTTAAAAACATGCACTCCATACTTTCCATATTAATTGAAATATATGTAAAAGGCACATATAGAGTCTGTGTTTCCTTTACAAATATTATTGAAAGCATTTTATATTCTATTCTTAAACATAAAAGCACTTACAAAAGCTAACACAAATTCTAATATCATATATAAATCATATAAATAAATAAATAAATAATGAGGTGATTTATAAAGAAATGACATTTAATATTTATTATTTATTAGTAAATGAAAAAATCCTATACTTTAATAAAAATATTAATAATAATGATGATGGCAATTATTATTATTATTATTATTAAATAGGATATTGTTTATTTATTTTAATTTTTTGAAAAGTTTACTTTTACAATTTGACACATCCAAACCACTGCAGAAATGTTCTTACCAACAGGCTCATGTCATATACAGTTCAGATACTCAATAAATAACCTATTATAAATTAAAAACGTTAATGTATGCTAAGTTTTTTGTTGCAAGTTCTCCCTGAGTTCGCGTGGGTTTCCTCTGGGTGCTCTGGTTTCCCCCACAGTCCTAAGACATGTGGTGCAGGTGAATTGGGTAGACTAAATTGTCCTTAGTGTATGTGTTTGAGTGAGTGTGTGTGATTGTTTCCCAGAGATGGGTTGCAGATGGAAGAACATCCGCTGCGTAAAACATATGCTGGATAAGTTGGCTGTTTATTCCGCTGTAGCGATCCCGGACTAATAATGGGACCAAGCCAAAAAGAAAACGTATGAAGGATAAAAAAACGGTAACACTTTATTATACTGCTTCTTCAACAGACATTAAACTGACTTTAAGAAACTTTGTAAGTACATGTCAACTTAAACTAACCCTAACCCCAACCTAACAGTCTACTTATAATCTAATGAGAATTCGTTGGCATGTAGATGCGATGTAACTTAAATTCAAGAAACAGACCATTAAAATAAAGAGTGACCAAATAAATAATAATGAAATAAAAATAATAAAAATTGCATTTTTTTAGGGAAATTTTGCAAGAAACATTGTTATCGCAATACTTAACAACATTGCATATTTTTTTTAGTATCATGCAGCCCTAGAAAATGACATGAAAGAATATCTGCGAATTAAGTAAACTTTATTTTTAAACTAAAAGTCATTCAAGTTCATTGTTTTTGAGGAAATTTAATCAAGGCTCACACAAGCGTCTCAGCGTTGTACAAGGAACACTTGTGGCCTATTTTTTTATAAATTACCCAGCACCATTCTGTTTGACACAGCAATCAACGGTTATCACCCCATGCTGCAGGACGCATCGATCACAGGCGGAAATCCTGCAGCACAGCAGGTTAAAACAAACAGGCCTGCGCCATGACGCCTGTTACCGTAATACAATTCATGGCAAAAAGAGGAGACATGGCAGAAAGTCTGCGTGCTCTGATTTACCTCACGCCTGTGTGAACTGGAAGCGAGAAATGGGCAGCCAGTGCGAGGTCTGTGTTCAGCTGCGCTCTTTATGATTTGGGCCATGCAGTCATAAATCAAGCCGGAGTGATGCCGAAGGGCTCTTCGCAGATGGTACGCCTCCAATTAATGGGCTGGTTTGGAAGTGTGGCCTGCTGGAGAGGAGGAAAAAGACCTGGCAAATGAAGAAGCAGCAAGAAACCAGGGGGAAGGAGTTGAGAGTGTGCTTGCAATCTGCAAAAAGACACAAAACATCTCAATGCTCGACTCTCGTGCTGGAGTCCTGCGAGTCTCAACAGTGCCGCAGAGGTTCATCATTTAAACATCACATAACCACTGGATTCACTGGCATGAATGTTTCATTAGAAAGGCTTTCACGGTGCAATGTTGCCTTGAGGTGGCACACGCTTCACAGATAAACAGTGCGAAAGATGCTTTATCAGTGCTGGAATTAATAGTTTTTCTCATATATTTAGTAAAATAATGTGTCACAGGAATCTTGTTGCACTCAGATCTTGAAAAGACTTTTAAATTGAACAGCATGTTCTGCATTTGCTTGTAGTGTACACTCAAATAAACGCTTACTGCTGCTTGTTCAAACTTCTTATTTAAAATGAGCTGAAACAACCAACCCAAGCTCATTCTGGAACGTAGCCTCGCAGACATTTCTGGAGACCGCGATTTACGTGGCCAGAGGTAGGTACGGACGTGTTTAGTTTTTTTCAAGTGAACGCTGCGGGGCGGTGTGGCCGACGGCCTGTCTCCGAGTGGAGGGCTTTCCCGATGCAACCAGTTTGTTCGCTTAGCTCACAGCATTGCGTCGGCGGAGCGGAGGCCTCGGAGGAGGAGCCGGCTGCGGGGACGGCGACCGGGATCGAGTCCGGGGAACAGCGGTTCCAGAAATCAAGTAAGACGAAAAACAGAATCCGAAAAATAAGGGCGAGAATGAGGCGGGATCCGAAAACGCGGTCGAAATCGAAGACGAGGGATTTTGCTTTTTTTTTTTCTGGACGGCTTTTTCAAACCGTCGCTTGGGTTTAGGGAAGGAGGAGGAGGAAGAGGAGGGCGGCAGGGTCGGCCGATCCGGCGGCTTTTCGCGCGAGAACAGCGCGGGCGCACGGCGCGCTCCCAAGAGTCGCCCGAGAGGCGAAAAAGCAGACACAGCGGCCTCTCGCGGATCCGCGAAAACAAAAACCGCTCGAATACGTACCTCCCGGGACGTATCTCGCGACCCGCAGAAACGTCCGCGGGGTTACGTTTCCACAATGAGCCCGGTTTGTATTTATTTTATGTTCAGTCCACTTAAATTTGTAAACAGCTAAGGCCCCTTTTACACTAACATGTTTTAGTTTTAGTGTCCCTTTTAGAATGAAAACGATTCACGTACACAGTGGCATATCACCTAGCGAATCTAAACAGTTTACTCCGTTCCACTACACCGCTAAAAATGCAAATCACATGACCACACACACACACACTCTGGTGTGCGCTGCAGAGTATGCGGACTTCATCAGCAGGTGCTTTGAGCACATCTACCCATATAAGCACAGAGTATGTCGGACAGTTCATCAAGGATCTACCACTGAATCTAATCTTCCTTTATTTGTTAAACGTGATGTTTAATTAATTATGTTGTCGATATCTATTGACATATTCCACGACTTTGGTCTGTTGAATCTAATACTTGTTCTCAGGTAACATGTTTTTGTTGAGCGCATCGAGTTTACTCAATTTAGTTCAGTCAACTTATTAGGGTTTTCAGTGTATGCAGATAGTAGTTTTTAAGTGTGAGTTGTACATTAAAACACCTTAAAACCAGTCAATCAAAGATATTCTTTTACATGAAAAAAGCCAAACTATCAAAATACATAAGGTAAGTGAAAAATAGCACCTTTTACAGACATGAAGTTACAAAACTGCTTTACAGTAAGAAAACATATCAAAACAGGGTAAAATCAAAAGGTAAAACCAGCTCACCATATGATTGTCCAAAAAGATGTCTATAATTTTAATGTCTTTGATTTAAATATTTAAATGTTGTTACTTCCATTATTTGTTTATTTTTTAAGTTGAACTGAGCCCAGAGTTCTCAATGCTAGGTATGTAGTATGCTATATATCACACACTTGTTTTATCCAGTCTCGTCTTGATGATTTTGCTTATAATGCGTTAATAATTCTGGGACGTCTCTTACCAGTGTCTGCCGCGGTCGTCTCTGTGGAGCAGAGAAATGAATTAATGTGTCGCTTCAGCGCTGTCGCACTCCACCATCTCGAGAATCCTGTGTAAATATTCCCTCTGTCACATTAAACTGTCTAATTGCGTTTCTCAGCCACTCCAAAACTCTCTGGATCTCCAACAGGGCTGAAACACGGCCAAATTCATTTATGCCAATCAACTGCCTGTCCTGAGGAAGTCTAATCCGAGGATGAAAAATGGACTGTGTTTTCTAAAGACCATTTGTTAAGGTCTGTTCATAACTAGAAGCATACAATATCTAATTATATTGCCGCCTCTCCTCACCAACCGACTGTTTATTATTAGCGCGTAAACGGCAAGTTTTATGTTTTATTTTTGCGATCTTCTGATCTCATTTGAAACTTTTTAAAATTATTATTATTGCTTGAACTGACAATACATGAACATCGTAGCCATGAGGTGAGTATCTAAAATCGATACTTAAAGGTTCAGGACACCCTGAAGAACTTTTTTTTTTTTTATATTAACAGATTTGTGTGTGTTGAGCATCAGTTAAGACAATGTTTGCACCTGTCAGCTTTAATTGTGGGGAAAACCGGATAATTTTGAGCTTTTGTCAGCTAATTTCAGCTTCCGGGTTTAAAATAATTTTTGGGGCCGGATCAAAATCGGCGACGTAGCGCAGAACTGCAAGTGCAATGATAACGCGTCGGTTTCTTATTATTATTCATTGCGGAGTTTTCTTATCCTATGAGAAGAGCCGGCTGCTTAATTATTCATGAGAGCACGTGCTTTCCGAAGGCAGACCTGCTAGTTTCAAGCAAGCTGTGAGTGAGACACAGACCATCGGCACATAGCCGTTCATGAAGGCTCATATGTGTTTGTTTCCATGATCCACGCGGTTTGTTGCATGTTTTTTCCCTGCGATCCTGTCAGGGCCGATCATACAGCAAAGCTGTGTGTGTGCTGCTAGCATTTTTGTCGGGAGAGCAGCACGAGAATTAGAGAATGGCGGACGCTGTCTTTTATCAGGAGTTCGTTCACATTCAGACACATCACCGTGCTGCTGTGTTTGCCTAAATCCTCTATATTACCAGCAGGGCTAATGGTTAAAATAGACAGGTCAGGAGACCTGCTGCACTGAGTCTGCATTCAGATATATAATTTAGACCCGGGGATCGAGGGAGAATCCTCATAGTGTTTACATGAACACACTTATCTTTATAATGATATAAATTGTGGTTATGTGTATATGAAATTACGAATAACAAATGTAGCAGGGCATTAAATTACTGTTTATTTCTTTGCATTTTAACTTTGTGAACTATAAACTCATGCGTCTCACGGTTTGTGTCTCAGTTTGTGAGCTAGCTGACAACAACAGTTATTCGCTCCCCTTCTCCCCTACTGGCCACGCCCACTCCTGCCCGATGCTTGCGGAGCTTCACGCCCATTAATCATGCATCTTTTGAAAAAATTCTGAAGTAGACTTTAACCGAAAGAGGGGGGTGTCGTGGTCCTTTAAGTAAAAGCACTTGCAAAATGTTTTACTCAAGTAAAAGTAAAAAGCTGAACTGAACTGAACTTCAACACTAAAAAACTGAACTCCATTTGTTGCTTAAGAGAGCTTATAATATTGTCCTTAAAATGTTTTTATTACCTAAAAACTGCTTTTATTCTAGCTGCCATAAAACAAATAAGACTTTCTCCAGAAGAAAAATAGTATAACAAATACTGTGTGGGGGGAAAAAAATCCTTGCTCTGTTAAACGTCACTTGGGAAATATTTGAAAAAGAAAAACAAATTCACAGGGGGGCTAATAATTTTGGCTTGAACTGTAAATTTCCCATTCAGATCGATGCTGCGCTGACGTCCCGCAGGTTCACGGCCACCGTCAACAGTCTATTGACCCTCCAGTCTTCAGGTGAGCAATTGAACTGCATCTCTAAAGGGTTTGCAGAACGAAAAACCTCTCACTTTGTGTTCTTTCTTCAACCACCCTAGAAATTGATTGCATTGCACAGAGTGCCCTCCACATATAATCAAAAGGCAGGCGGCCAGCTGAGACGGGAAGCTGTGCCTTTGAGACGCATTGCCTTCACGAGGTATGGAGAACTGAAGCCTTTCAGCAGAAGCTCATGCTGCGTCCTGAAGGAGATGCATGAATAAACAACAAAGCAGCATTTTCAAATGTTCACTCCTCAATGAAATGACTCTGTTTGCTTGGATGTAATCTGACTCTATAGAATATTTTCATGGACATCTGTTGACCTGTTTTGTGTTTAGGGAAAGGTGTTCTTTTTCCGAACACCTGCAACACTTGCAGCACATCTGAGCTGTTCTGGGATGGAAATGTGAGAATATATTTGCTTGTATTTTCCTCAGTTCTCTTCTCTTCATTTGTGCCAGACACTTAAACAACCTCTTACAAGGACTTAACAACAATGCAAACTCCACGATCATGCAAACTCCACACAGAAATGCCAACTGGCCCAGCCACAGTGTTGGCTCACTTTAAAACAAAAACTTGTTAAAAAATTAAATAAATAAATAAAATATTTCTGGGTCTTGAGGATTTGAAAAGTTTTCCTGACTAAAATTATATTTTATTTTATTTTATTTTACTTTATTGAAAAAATTTATTTATTTATTTATTTTTTTTTGCTTTTGGGATTTAACAAATGCACTATGATTTTATTTAATCATTTTTTTTCTTCTGTGATTAAACAAATGCACTATGATTTTATTTTATTTTTTCCTTCTGGGATTAAACAAATGCACTATGATTTTGTTTTTTAATTTATTTTATTTTGTTTTTTCCTTCTGGGATTAAACAAATGCACTATGATTTTATTTTATTTTCAATGTAATTTAAATTAATTTTATTTAATTTTATTTTATTTTATTTTGCTTTATTTAATTTAATTTAATTTTTTCCTCCTAGGATTAACCAAATGCACTAGGATTTTATTTTATTTTACATTTATTTTATTTTATTTTATTTTTTGCTTGTGGGATTAAACCAGTGCAGTGATTTTATTTTATTTTCAATTTATTTTATTTTGTTTTGTTTTGTTTTGTTTTATTTTTTTTTCCTCCTGGGATTAAACAAATGCACTTTTATTTTATTTTATTTATTTTTTGTTTTGTTTTGTTTTGTTTTATTTTTTTGCTACTGGGATTAAACAATTGCACTATGATTTTGTTTTATTTTCAATTTATTTTATTTTATTTATTTATTTTTATTTTTTTTCCCTCTGGAATCAAACAAATGCACTATGATTATTAATTTAATTTAACTTAATTTTATTTTGTTTTTTGCTTATGGGATTAAACAAATGCACTGTTTTTTTTTTTTTTTTTTTACTTTAATAAAATTTTTATTTTAGAATAACAGCAATATTAACTTGAGAAGGAAATATCAAAATTTCCAAAAGGTCATAAAAAGTAATCTGTTTTATCTTTAAATTATGTAGATTTTTCTGACCTCAATGGCTCATTTTTATATTTTAGTAAAACAGGGCTTAATATCACAAATAATTTTGTTTCTCAATTGAATGTATCTAGATTTCACTACTAGATATATTGAGCGCAATGGTATATATATCGTGGTCTTGCATTGTCTTAGCCCTAAGTAAATATCTTTGTGCAAGTTAAACTCTATGAACTAACTTGCTTTGTGAGACGAGATACTCTACAAGCTCCATCATGACTGAGTCACATGCATGTGCTGCATTATGCAACAACAGCTGCTTAGGTATATTTAGAGCATTACTGTGGTTGCTAGGTGATTTAAAGTGGTTTTTAGGAGTTCAGAGTGCCTTTAAGTGCATTAATATGTGGTTTTGCCCATTTTAATATTTGCTAGAGAAAGAAACATTATTATTATAGGATAACTGTAATGTCAAATTTTAATCCTAAGAGATGAAACTGACAGTGATGCTTACCTTAGCAGAAATGACTGCGCTGGGACTAGACTGCAGTTCTGCTTTGGTTTTATTTTAAGATTTTGTTTGGAGACTAGTTTCATAACCCTACTTTATTAATTTCAGCCCACAAAATCCCAGAATACCTGCATCAAGCATTTTTATCTGCTATTGCCATTTAAACGGTCTTAAAATTACTCATCCCAACATTAGCAAGACTCTTCCAAGACTCATTTAAATGTAAATGTAAAATATTAATGCGGGTCTTAGCAGGATTATCTTAATATAAGTGCTCTCTCCTCTTCGCTGACAGCTTCTGATTATTTCTGTCAGCTATATTTAGTGGTATTTGCTAAGGCGGAAGTATTGGCACTGTTATACACTACTGTATGCGTATATTAACATACTTGCACATACTGTATGTGTATATACATACTGAATTATTATCCCTGCAAAATTTTTTGCCCCTCTGGTATTTATCTCACCAGTTTCTGTTTAACAAAGAGAAGATTTCTTCAACACATTTCTAAACATAACAGTTTTGATAATTTCTACTAACTGATTTATTTTATCTTTGCCATGATGACAGTAAATAATATTTGAATATATATTTATAAAGACACTTCTATACAGCTTAAAGCGACATTTAAAGGCTTAACTAGATTAATTAGGTTACCTGGGCAGGTTTAATTAATTAGGCAAGTTATTGTATAATGATGGTTTGTTCTGTAGACTATGGAAAAAATATATTGCTTAAAGGGGCTAATAATTTTGTCCTTAAAATGATTATAAAAAATTAAAAACTCATTTTATTCTATCCAAAATAAAACAAATACGATTTTCTCCAGAAGAAAAAATATGTTCAGACATACTGTGAAAGTGTAATTTTATTTATTTTATTTAATTTTATTTAATTTTATTTTTTATTTATTTATTTATTTGCTTCTGGGATTTAACTAATGCACTTCTATTTATTTTTAATTTAATTTAATTTAATTTAATTTAATTTATTTTAATTTAATTATGTTTTATTTTATTTTATTTTATTTTATTTAATTTTACTTTATTTTATTTTATTTTTTGCTTCTGGGATTAAACAAATGCACTATGATTTTATTTATTTTTTTCCCTCTGGAATTAAACAAATGCACTATGATTTTGTTTTATTTTTTATTTTATTTTATTTTATATTATTTTATTTATTTTATTTTATGCTAAGGTCAATATTATTACCCTCTTTAATATTTATCTCCCTGACTTGCCTAATTAACCTAACTTTCATAGTTAACCTAATCAATCAAGTCAAGCCTTTGAATTGCACATTAAGCTGAATACCAGTGTCTTCCAAAATATCTGGTAAATATTATGTGCTGTCATCATGGCAAAGATAAAAGAAATCAGTTATTAAAACTACGTTTACAAATATGTTGTAAATAAATCTCCATTTCTAGTGTCTGAAAAAGAAATTGATCAGGTGGAATTACAATATTATTTAGTTTGTTATAATATTTATTTATTCAGGGCTGCACCTGGTTAGCACTGTCGCCTCACAGCAAGAAGGATGGTTTGAGTCCCTGCTGGGTCAGTTGGTATTTCTGTGTGGAGTTTGCATGTTCTCCCCATGTTGGCATGGGTTTCCTCCGGGTGCTCCGGTTTCCACAACAGTCCAAACACATGCGCTATAGATGACTTGAGAAAACTAAATTGGCACTAGTGTATGTGTGTGAATTCAAGAGTGTGTGGGTGTTTCCCAGTTTGAGTTGGTGCTGGAAGTGCATCCGCTGTGTAAAACATATGCTGGATAAGTTGGCGGTTCATTCCGCTGTGGCGACCCCTAATGAATAAAGAGATTAAGCCAAAGGAAAATGAATGAACGATTATATTTATCTATTCATTCATTCATTCATTCATTCATTTATTAGAGTGAAGTTTAATTTTAAACTAATTTCGAGAGAAGCATGTACTCATGATTGACCCAGCTGGTCCACATTAGCTAATCATGATCCTCCAATCAAAGGATCCCAAGTCACTATATATATCCTCATTTCCTTTCTACAGCTATCTTCTTCTGGAAGAAGCCCCCCTCCTCTCCTTCTTCCTCCTTTATCCAGAATGGGCGGCACGGTGGCTAGTGACTAGCACTGTTGCCTCACAGCAAGAATACCTATGGTGTTGGGTCCTCGCTGAGCCATTAGGTATTTCTTCGTGGAGTTTGCATGTTCTCCCATGTCCTCCGGGTTCCCCGTTTTCCTCCCACCATCCAAATGTGCTCTGTATTATAGATAAAATAAGCCTAAACCTTTTTTATAATGTCTTACTCTCAGAAAGTTTGCCTTGGCCTCAGCAGCGGGGGAGTTTGAGATCGACCTGAGCTCAATCTCCCCTCGCCCTGCAAAGGGGGGAGCCCTGGGCTCGAGGATCCCTTGAGCTCAGGGCTCTCTCCCGGAACAGCATGCCAAACAAGCTATGTATAAATCATGAGCTAAGTGTGAACTCTTGAATTATAATTAGAGGACAGACAGGATATTATCATTTGAACCAACCAGTTAGCAATCACTAACTATATGCAGCGGAAAAAAACTATTAAAAACCATACAGCAACTTTTTGACATCCACCCACAATATCCAGCACTAGCAAAAATCTAGTTGATGCTGTATTACAGCACCCAGGACACATTTTACAGCCTCTCAGACAATGTTGAATTGCCTTGAATGGAATAAAAATAGTTTATGGCAGCTGTGGATCTAAATGACATAGAGGCGTGCTGTAAGTTTGTGTAAAGAATTGTTCATGATTCCTGCGCCCGTCCTACAGCCTCTTTTTATTGACTTCCTGAGTGTGCCCTTTCCCGCTGAGATTCATTTTTAAATGTCACCTTGAAGAATCTAGTAATTATTCATGTCTGTTCTTTGCAAGTGCTGTTCCAATTGTTACTCTAACCTTTCTATTGCTTAAGATGTAGATGATATTACACGCCGGGGGTTTTCCTGCGCCGGATTCGTCTGCATCACAGCAATTAATTGCTTCTTTGGACTGCTTCTACACACAATGTGAAAAGGACAAGTGGCTATTGTTAGAATTGATGGAAAACAAAAGGCAAATGGGCTCTGTGTCGCGCGTGGGGAATTTCAATGTCGTCTTGCTTGAGGAAGCGTCGCACATATGCTTGTTATGAAACACAGTCATCAACCAATGAGCTGATGCGGGCAGGCCCTTCTGTTGAATACAAATGCGTCAGATACACTGAAGCGGGAGTTTATTTTAATGCCTCACTATAGAATACTGGAATGTGTGATCAGCAGAACTGTGGTTCTGTTTTGTGTGTGTTGGAATGTGGTTGCTAGGGTGATTTTTTAACAGTTGCAAGTTAGGCTGAACAATATATCATTTGAGGATGGAAATCGCAATGTGTGTATCCGCAATAGTCACATTGCAAGATTTGATTATTAATTAATGA